CTGCGTTTTCTTTCAGAATCATCATTCGCCGATGGAGAGGAAAAGTTAAACACTATAGCATGTTATTTTATGAAAATGAGATACTGAAAGAAGTGATCGCGCGCTCATAGACGTCTAGGCTATATCTGCAGCTAATCTGAATAAAAAGCAGAATGAACTGATGAAACGTTAATACAATAAATAAATAATTTATGAATGATGCAGTGCTAATGGACATATCATTTATTACAGTACAGAAACTATAAAGTATATTTTCTGCCTTATTCTGTGATAAAAATGGAAAAAAATTGTTTGTAGTATATTTGATTTCTTATAGCAAATTCAAAGTACGAGATAAGAAAATAATTACTTGTAAAAAAAATCATAAAACATACATACATAAAAGTATTGTATTTGATATTTCTGTCACTTCTGAAATGATGGCTGCGCCCCTGGTGTGACAAAATGTTAGCCTATACATAATACTTTTAAAGCTCTTTTTTAAAATCTTGGCTTACATAAATTTCTACATATATCATGCCATAGCATCATTAAACTAGCATCTAACAATAGACAAAAGTGGGTTTTTCTCTCCAACCATAAACGCTGCTGTGTAATCTGTCCCCTGACTAAGCATTTAAAGAACTTAGGGGAAGCATTTAAATAATCCTGTGAATGCACGTAAAGAATGCAGAATCGAATCTAATCGAATTTAATTGTGAATCGAATTGAATCGTTCTGAATTTGCAAAAATCGTTCTTGAATCGAATCGAAAACCTATGAATTGTGAATCGAATTGATTCGCTGTCTACCCAAAGATTCACAGCCCTATATTTTAGTAATAGTCAGGCCGGTGAAGATAAGTATAGGAATAGTTTAGCTAATAAATGATCGTTCTGTCACCATTTCCTCAGCCTCACAGTAACAGCATGAGGAGAATATGAATGATCACCTGGATGAGAGCGGCCCGAGTGGAGTCCTGAAGCACGGCACGCCGCGAGGCCTGCGCTTACGGAAAGCTTGTTCGATGAGCTTTCCTTCAGACGAGGGGTCTATCCTCCAGAAAGAGCCTTTGCCCGGCTCCTCTTGAGATCGGGGCACTTTGATAAAATAGCGGTTTAAGGACAGATTGTGACGAATCGAGTTCTGGGAGAGAAAAAAGCAAGGTTAACAGTTCGGCAACTGCTTTAAGCTGCAAATTCAATTTCATTTGACACTGTAACGAAGAAGCAGATTATAAACGAGACAATGTGCACATCTACTTCCAGAGCGGGTTCAGGTTTATTGTGTATCGTGTTTACTCAGCTTCTGCTACTTGAGCGTTTGCTGTTGTGTCTGTCCCATCTTTCAATAACATGGTGGCAGCAAAACAATGTGTAATATGCACTGAAATATGCCACACAATCTGTATTAGTCAGACTGAAACACTGGTTTCTAATGTTGAGATCCTTCAGAAGGACCTGCAGAGCTGTAGGTGCTACACACAATCTCAGCTCTCGGAGGATTAGAGAACAACGGCTTTACGTGGATCAGTGTGGATGATCATGTGTTGGTCAGTCTGACAGAACAAGTCTTTCATATCAAACACACACAAAGAAAACCTGTGTTTTGGAAAGCTACTAACAAGAGCATGTTAAAAAAACAACAAGATAATAATAATAATAAATAAAGTCTGGGCCTGCTCAATTCAGTGAGTTCACCTCAAGCACATACAAATACAACCGCACTGCAACAAAGACTAAATACATTACATGACTCTAAACTGTAGACGCTGCACAAAGGAAAGAGCTGATTGACACTCACTTGCCAGCCCTTGTCTGCCGTCCTGTAATATGGATAATTCTTAGTAATGTGGGTATATATTCCATTCAGTGTTAGTTGTTTGTCCGGTGCCATTGTGATGGCCTGAACAATAAGCTGTGCATACGAGTAAGGAGGCTTGGAGTCATCCTGTTAAAGACAAGGAAAAGAGCATTGTGACGGGTTACTGCATCAGATCGGTTTCAGAAAAGTCCAAAGTGACAAACAAGACAACATTGCTCTACACAGCAGCCTGCACTTTTAAAATATCTCCTACTTTTGGACTGTCTCCTCCAGACGCTTCCTTGTCATTTTCAGATTGTGAGTTTTCATTGATGAGATCAGCTGTGAGTCCACGACCCATTTTATAACTGGACAGTCCTGCTCCTCGGGGACTTGATGGACAGGAGTTAGCAGCGCTGAAGAAAATGGCAAACAAAAGGTACATAATAAAGGCCTTTGCAATAGAGGACAAAAGGCTGTGAGATGAAGCAGAATGCGCTTACCTGAGTGTACCTGTGGGAGACGGGAGCGGGCTCATCAGGTGGGCGATGTTGTCTGGGATGTTGATGGTCAGCGGCGAGATCTGGACTTGCACCGCTTTCACAGGAGACTCCGGCGCGTTCCTGCGCTCTCGCTTGTCGCTGGACAAGGCAGTGAACGTCATTTTGATAGTGGTGCTGGGAAATCGGAAAGTGCACCTACAAAACAGAGAGAAGAACCACTTATGCACTGATGTTTATGAGTAGCATATTGAAAATATCTACACAAATAAAAAGCAGAGATGTTGATACACACACCAGCCGGCAACAGAACACCGAAGGAGAGCCGGTTTATGTATGGACACCAGCGTGACCCGATTACACTTTAATCATCAGAAATATATCCGAACCTCTGCCCACCCTTCATCACAATGAGCGTGCAGTGTGTCCTCGTTTCACATCATACTTAATGCATGTAAAAAAAAAAATCATAATCTTTATGATTTGAGGCGAAGCTCATCTGATACAGACGCACCCCTCTGCAACAATAAAACACAAGCACACAGCTTTACATCTCTCAGATGGAATATCAATAAATGTAAAAGTATGTACCCAATGCAGCCTTTTTATAATGTACGCAAGGTCAAGAGACATCACAGACATGAACGCCACAGTCCCATAATCAATCATTAGAGGGCATAAAAACATGAATTCTATTAGCCAGGCTATTATATCTCATTAACATTTCCGATCCTGTCATTTAATTAGTGGCTCCAGCACACGTCATAGTTGATTAACTCGCTAGATGTGGGTCAACTGAGGGCATCAGGGGCTGAATGAACCCATGTTTCTAATGATAACAGCGTTGCGGTCGCTCGTTATGCTGAATCCTGTAAGAAACATGTCATTAATATCCTTCAGTGTCGCTAATGATGATGAAAGCAGAAGAACCCGAGCGCCGTGTAAACAGACCGAGGCGAGCGTTAGTCGCGACGCTAATCGACGCGCGTTAGTCGCGGTTGTAATAATCAACACGTGCTGCTCGCCAAACAAAACAAACACCGCGAGCGAGCGACGCAGACGCGTTCAGGCGCCGGCCGCTGCCCACAGCCCTGCGCTTACATGCGGGGCAGCTGCAGAGGAGGAGCCCCCCGTCTCTGAAACACCCCGTCCACGAACACCCCGTTTTTGCCGAGGCATCGAAGGTAGAAGTCTCCGCTTCCCGTGCCATCCTCGCCGGCGGAGAAGATCTCCAGGTGCCTCCGTGAAATGAAGCTCGAATGGCCCATGCTCACGTCCACGGAGCCTTGTGAGGAATTCCGTCCGATGGTGACCGAGCGCTTCTTCATCAGATACTCGAACTCTCGGCCCTCGAGCCGGGCGACGACCACCGCCATCTTTACTGTTTCTCTTGATGGGGATTTAAGACTATCAAATTGAATGAGCAGACGGCAAATTGTCGGCCGGGAGGCCTGCTTGCAGAATTTAGAGGGGGCTCGAATCAAAGGATGAGAAATAAAACGAAGGAACGTGCCAGTCCGAGGACAGCGGCTCCAGCCACAGCCGCGACAGAGAGAACGAGAACACGATCAACTCTACCAAACAAACGCTGGAGGCGGGGCCAAGCTGATTGACAGCGGTAACGACCAATGGCTCTACGACTCGGGAGAAGAAAAACGGACTCCTCCAATCAGCAGTGAGACGAACACGTGTGTAGCGCCGGGGGTTGGTTGCACCGTGTTCTGCAAGAGAAGCACCGGCGATGCTAGAGTTTACCCCTGCATCAGCGCACAAAATAACACACTTACACTACAGTGCTGCTTTTACCGAGGAACAGAATTCATGGCGATATGAGGATCACCTCTTCTCCACAGGACTTCGGTTGCCTTGGCAATGGTCGTGTGTGTAATTAAGTTACGCTTATGGGAACCAAAGCTGTTCATAACACCCGCTTTTAGTGTAAGAGTGAACCAGCTCCAGAGTTATTATATTATACATCTATAACTACACACATCATTAAACCCGTCTTTTTAGCCAAGTATCAGATATGGATGTGTCGTGTCATAATAATTCGACTGAATTTGCATTTAACTTGATCAGAATTTGAATGAATTAATAATTTCATTTAACTTGATCAGAATTTAATAAAAAAAAATCATTGTACGTTGCTAATTATAACGCTTTAAGTTATTCAAACAGCGAATAAATTATAGTGAACGCGAGCAAAGAACATAATGACTGACTTCAGTCTAGCGCGAGTTTTAGTTCCCAAAAAAACAACAACCTCCCATTATAATCAGTGCTGTCCCCTATATTAATAATATATAATCAGCTGTTCGCTGTTTGTTGAGTGAATCTCTTGAATAGTGTTCATCTGAACAGAACTGCGGTGTTTCAGCGAGGACTCATCTGGACGCTTCTGATTGGCCGCTGCGTTCATAAACACAACGGAATCGTGTGTGATTGGTTATAATGCGCAACGCTGTAAAAAGAAATGTGATGCAACATGAGCAGATCCAAATTGGATGTCGCTATCAACACTTTTCATTTAATTTCACTCACGACAGCCGTAATGGATTTAGTTTAATTGTGTAAGGGCATTTTTGTCCCAAGCCCCGTGGCCAGGAGCAGCCTAAACTTTGCAGATGAGAGAAGTCATATAACATGGAAAACCAATGGATCATTTGCAGATGTTCTTCACCATACACTGAACAACAACTCAACATGCGAGCAACATCTACACCGTTGCCTTTGCCATGTTCATCACATTACACAATCATACACGCACACAAAATATCCCCTAAAAGAGTCCTAAAACCACTCTCACACACATCTTCCCACCAAGAGAAGACTCATCTCTAACACACATCAGCTGTCCGTCAGAGTCCTGGGGACCTGGAGCCATTCTTGAGTTTACAAACATCTTTAATTTGTCATATGATACTGAACTGTGGGCATCATCATCATCTTCATGAAATTATACGCATCACTTGCACGTTATCAATGACAAAAGCATCAAATGAGTAACAAAATAGCTTATAGATACATTTCAAAGAACGGTTAAAAGAATTTAGACAAAAACTTAAAAACACTGTTCTTCAGGTGCAAGACTGGGCACTTTGCCAGAATTTGAGCGCATTAGTCTGTAAAAGAGAAAGATACTGCAAAACTACATCAAGTGCTAATTCTACAGCTAATAAACAAAAAGATGCGGTTCGATGCAACCAGGTTTAAATAGTGTACAATCTACCTTACAATTAACCTCTTGTAAAGTATCAATGTGAGAAGAAAACAGGACTTTAGAGCTGATCATTTTATTTTAATCCATTAAGAGTATAAAGAGACTAAATATGACGACACGATTCCTCGTTCCTCCCTTAATATGCTGTGTATGTGCGTCACGTCTCGTGTGATAGTACAGTGACTGAAGTAAAACTTCTACAAAGCACTGATTATATTCATTGGATTTTCTTAAAGCCAACAAAAAGATAAAGTGTTACATGAAATGAGGAGCGCACCTTTACACCATAAAACGTCTGTTTTGTTATACTAGTCTAAATAGTATGTAGTTACATCATTTTCACCCGGTATCCTGCTTTCATACAGCAAGAAAAACAATGCTAACCCTAACGAAGAGTTTTCAAATACATAGTGTGAGTGATGTACATGTTTACACCCACCGCTGCTCTCAATCACAGAGGCGCTCCTTACCCTAGACTCGGCTTTGTTAGTGGACAAAGAGAATCGCTCTCGCTATCTGGCCAAGGACATCCAAAGCTAAAAAAATCCATGGAAGACCATTTTAAAAAATGTCGTCCTTTCAAAAAAAAAAAAAAAAAAAAAAGGTTTCCCTCTCGTCGCTCCACAGAATGTGTTTTCTGCGGTCACAGTTTTTCAGTCATCTCTCGGCTTGTTGAAAGGAAGGTCTCTCCTGTTTGAGTCTGGAGAGCATTTAGAGGTTCTTTTGGTCTCTCCTCCATGTCTGTGTCACGCTCATCTCCAAAACGCCACTCGAGTCCTTTGGAGATGTCAGGAAAGAAAGTGAAGTAGTGTCTACGCTCAGATCTTCTCGTCAGTCATTTCCAGGAACTGAGAGTAAACATCCCTCGAACACTCCCCTTTTTGGTTGAAGAGAAACTTGTAGTAGCTGCCATCAGCACAAATAGCTGGAGGAGGAAAGTTAGTCACTAAACAGTTCTGCTAGTCATATCAGTAAATGATTGTTTGATGATTCACAGCACATGCCTATGAGTGCAATATTTTTATAGTTGTTTTTAAAAATATGACCTAAGTGTGTTTCAATACGCTTCGCTCTACCTATGACAGCGTTGGGTTCTGTTCCAAAGGCACAGACGCAGGGGGAACCGGACTGGACCTGGAACTTGGAGAAACTCCATTTGGAGCTGAAATACTTGGGGAGAAAACTGGCCGACGCCAAGCTGTGGTACAAGAGAGGCGCACCGTAAACAACACTTACAATGAAATACAGAATATAAATGCCAGACAATAACAAAGTCGAGGATATCTGCTAAAACCTTTAGTGTGCTTCAACACGAACCTGGACTGCTTGTTCCTTTTGGGATCCTCTGCAGCAAATATGTGGACTGTGCCGTGGTCACTCGAGACGCAGATAAGAGAGGCATCCTGGTTGAAATTGATGCTGAAATACAAATGCGCTCTTTTATAAATACACACATATTCCCCTTTAGAGTGATAGAATAGGATAGCATGCATGCAGTGATCACCAGTATATATTGGCAGTTTGCGATCCTCTTCTGAGCTCCTGAATAAGATGACCTGCTGAGGTGTCAAATATTCTGATCAGGGTCCCCTAGACAGAAGACATGTTCTCCATTAGCCAACCGCTGACATATTGCTTGGCTATTAGATTAGCAAGCAGCGCTGCAATAATCAAACAGCTGTGTGTCACACACACGAGAGTAATAAAGAGTGAAGTGAGCAGGCGAGACTAAACCATCAGTGACGCTGAACTGACTTTTTCTGATGCCGTGGCTATCCGTGTGCCCTGCAGGTTGAGCGCGATGCAGCACAGAGCTCCTTCGTGCGCAGGAATATCCACCGGCGGCTTCTCCGTGTTGGCCAGATCTACGATCTGAACGTGTCCGGAGTGAGTGGCTGGGAACGCTAGCAGGGAATTGTTGCTGTTTGGGCACAAGACACACAAACCTGCAGAGACGGCCAGAGTGAGCGTCAAGAAAACGGCTTTATATTTGTCCTGTCAAGTTCAGATTAACAGCACACGCTTGTGCTTCACTATCTAAGAGCACGGATGAACCGCTACTGCACGACTTACCTTTAGGGTTATAGCAGGTTTCAAAGACATGCAGCTGATGAGGATTGTGAGTAAACGTGAAGACTTTAATCATGGAATCCAGGACCACCACAATTCTGAAACACAAAACAAACCGGATGTAGCTGTTTGTTCTTTATAAGGAACTTGAGCGACTCTTTAATGTTTTCCTAGCAAGAGACTAAGCACTAGTGTTGTCAGAAGGAAGCGACTGACGGACGGTCCGTGAGTATTTGTGTGCGCTCTGAAGAGCTTCAAAGGTTTCTATTTTTAATGTTTTTGATGTGCTGCAAGATGTTGCCAATCATAGGAGTCCAGGTTAGTCAGAATCCTCTCGATAGTTTGCTGTCAGCGTGAGCTCACTGACTGGATTCTGCATTAGAGCCAACGAAGAGCAGATGTGATGTCAGTAAGACTCATGCTGCAGTGTAGTCATCTTCAGTGATGATAATGTGAGAGTGCAGAACTCAGCGTGAAGTGATCGACATCTTGTGATCTTTGTGTCTATAATCCATTCACAATTTGAATACAAGTTTTGTTCTTCATGCTGCAAAGATTAGCAAAGGAGTGATAAATGCATTTAAATGCAGGAGTGAATCTGCTAAATGATTGTTAAACGAGTCACTCACGAAACTGACAGTAAAAGCCACAAGAGTGAAACGGTTACTTGAGTAGCTTTAATACACATCTACTGTTACTAAAACAACTCTTTGTCCTATTAATTGTGATGTGATTTAGTTATTCATTTTATTACTGACTTTTAAAAGCAATATTTACTAAATATTTGAAATATTTGAAAGCCACTTGATAATGTTTTGATGTGTTTTTACTTATATATAAATATAGTTTCTGTTATGGTATCGAAATTGGTGCAGTACCATGAAATTTTACTGGTATTACTATTGTCAATGTCAAAGCTTAACCCAAGTAGAAATTACAGCTACACTGTGCCAATATTTAATATGAGGCTGCGAGAGTCATTTCTGCACACTGCATTTGTGATACTGGATCTTTGTTTGTTCTCTTGCAACTTCCAAATATCAATGCAAGAAAATCATCTGTTAAAAAAAAAAAAAGATTTTTAAATATATCCTGAATCAGTTGTCAGATATGTTCAGAGTCAAATATTATTAAAGGAAGAATACAACTACAAGAACATATGATACATATGAGTGCAATACCTGTCACGGCGAAGCTTAACAGCTTTGACCTCCGTGGAAAACTCAATCTCGATCACAGTCTTTTTCTTGAGGTCATCCCAAATCATCACTAACACAAAGACAGGAAAGAAGCAAAAATGTGTTTTTACAGATTTACTTGCTGAAATAATTTAGCAGAGTTTTAATATGTGTCAACCGGATGCAAAATCCAGGAGAACCTGCATTAACGTGGTTTGCGGTGTTCAAAACCTCAGCAAATTATTCCATGAAGCTGTCAAACAAGTGCCATCTCAAAGACAAATATACCTTTATTGGGAGGGTACTTTGGTTTTTTCCCTCCTCCAACAAGCGCAAGATAATTGCATCGAAAAAGCATCTCCACATGACCAACTCCTCCCTCAAGAAACTCTGAGAGTAAAGAGAATTAATGAGTCAACAGTTACGCAGTAAAGCAGGGATACTGTCTCTGATCCCAGAAACTCTGAATGGTGAAAGAATAACTCTTGCTAAACGCTAGTCCTTATGTTTCTAGAAGAGATGTTGACACTGACAGTCGTGGACTAGGTGTGAGTGTGTGTGTGTGTGTGTGTGTGTGAGAGAGAGAGAGAGAGAGAGAGAGAGAGAGAGAGAGTGTGTGTGTGTGTGACTGTGTGTGTGCGCGCGTGAGTGTGTGTGTGTGTGTGTATCTGTGTGTGAGTGTGTGTGTGTCATCTGTCTGTAACTGCTCTGGAAAAATCATTTCTGTGTCATCATGCATTCACAGAAATAACTTCTGCAAGACAAAAGACAAACAGAAGTCTTCATTGCCTGTGTGTATCTGCACTACTTATGAGGCAAGTTTTAAAAGCACATGCAAAAATCTAAAGTTACTAACTTCCACATATTGTTTTAATACTGCGATATCCCCTGCTGTAAGTCCTATCTGTAATATTTTCAGTATTGTATTCTGCGTTTAACACGTGTCAGAGAACACAGCGCTCTCACCTTGCTTTTCCTTTTCTTTAAGAGGGTCTGTGTTATAAACCCTGAATCCATTTTCCATTCCACACGCAAAACATCCTGGTGGGGGGGGAAAGACATTTTAAGGGAAATACTGGGATTTTCTGTTGCTCTACTGTTTCACCTTCAAGAGATGAACTAAACAGACTAAACCTCCACATGAAGGCATCAATATCACATGAGCTTATGAGAACAAGTACAAATGCATGCAGCCATATTTATATATTTATAAGAAGAGAGATGCTGGATTTGAGCTCTTCTGCTATGATCTCCGAAGAGCAGCAGCCACTGTGTTTCACTCTTCGTGACTTCCGGTTCTGATTCAGAGCCACTTAACCTGTATGAATCCTTCGTTTGAACCACTGATCTATAACAGAGATATAACAATCTCTATAACAGAGAATAGTGATTATATAGATCCGTGGTTTCTTCATTCTCAGTCAGTAAACGCTGCTTAAAATACAGTCAACGTTAGTTGAGCCCACATTATAGTTATTAATGCAGCACGCGGTCGGATTTAAACAAACTTACAGTAGACTTTACCTTGTATCACAGTGTTAATCAAGTTCACTGAAACCCAAATGGAGAGATTTATCGCCCGAAAGTCACTCCAGCAGTTGAGCTAGCGCTGGCATTAGCCTGGCTAATCAACTCTCAATGTTTATTTGATAATATGGTGAAATATGAGGATTACAGTTTAGGTTCATATATACAGTTGTCGGTCAATTAAAACTACAAACATTAATTTACAAAGAAAAAAAGCGGACAGAAGCCCTAAAAGGAAGACGCTCATGTGACTTGATCTTTATGGCTAACCAGCTGTTCCAAGTTCGTTAGCTTGCTAGGCAAAACAGCAATCGTGTTTATGAAGTTTAATATATCTAATCAAATAATCAAAACACATCTAAATCAAAATGCGTATTTGTTTTTACTGTCTAAAATAAATAAGAATTCACTGGTCTCTTGTGATTCATAAGGATAACGGTAAGTAACGTCATCAGTGATGTTAGCTTTAGCTAATAGTAAACATTTTACCGTGATCCTGGTTGAATCCAGCATAAAGTAATCCATTACCGTGCGGATTTGATGCTAATAAATCCATAGTGCTTGGCGTTATTTGGCTAATGTAAATGAAAAGACTGTTAGCCTAACTAAAGGCTAGCATTCCTGTCAGAAGGCTCGAGCTGGCAGGCTAACGCTAACGCTACATGGGCTGTAACAGCATGACTGTCTAAACCAGGATTCAGGAAGGAAGTAACGCTGGCAGCGCGCCTGCTTCTCCTGCTGCTCCTGCTTTCTCCTGCTTTCTCCTGCTTGCTCCTGCTTTCTCCTGCTTTCTCCTGCTGCTCCTGCTTTCTTCTGCTTTGTCCTGCTGCTCCTGCTTTCTCCTGCTTTCTCCTGCTGCTCCTGCTTTCTCCTGCTTTCTCCTGCTGCTCCTGCTTTCTCCTGCTTTCTCCTGCTGCTCCTGCTTTCTCCTGCTTTCTCCTGCTGCTCCTGCTTTCTCCTGCTTTCTCCTGCTGCTCCTGCTTTCTCCTGCTTTCTCCTGCTGCTCCTGCTTTCTCCTGCTTTCTCCTGCTGCTCCTGCTTTCTCCTGCTTTCTCCTGCTGCTCCTGCTGCTCCTGCTTTCTCCGGTTATCAGCGATATCAGAGTTAAACCGCGGCCCTACAGTAACGTTAATCTCACTGCAGCGCTCGAGGTGGTCTGTTTACTTTCTGGAAGTCAGATATTACAGAAACAGAATTTACTGCGGTCTACACATGACTTAAAGTTACATGGACTTTTGCAAACAGCTATCGATATTTTGAAGTATGCAGTATTCTGTACTGCAAGAACAACGCCACTTTGCTAAATATTTATTTAAACGGCCGTAAAGGGTTTTGCAGACGATATTAAAATACTTCCTAAAAATGCAAATACTTCATTTACAAAAAAACACCGGTTAAGTATGAAACAGTTTCACAGCCCTTCGCTCACCGCCCCAGTGGCCTAATGGATAAGGCACTGGCCTCCTAAGCCAGGGATTGTGGGTTCGAGTCTCATCTGGGGTGACTGCTTTTTTTCTTTTTTTATTAGAGTCTTATTCTGGAGTTTAGCACATTACAAAGCTGGATACATTTCAGGGCCCGTATTTATCAAGCCTTTTACACTGCAGACGTCTGCGGCGCGTTACGGATCCAAAGAGGTTTTGTTACGTCCTCCACGCGGTGCCAACTCACACCAGAAGCGGATCAGAAGCGCAGCGGTAGGATTCGCGAGACCACTAGTGATGGGAAGTTCGGATCATTTTACCGACTCGGACCTTTGAGTCTCGTTCAGCAAAATGAACTAATCTTTTTTCTAGTCATTTGGATCATTTCGTTCATTTTAGCGAAATATAATTAAAATGTTACGTGTTACTTCCCTAACACGTCTACTACTTACTCAAACATTGATCACACTACAAACAATACAAAACTATAATGCTATAAGAAACAGAAAAGATTAATTCATTGTTTAC